TCAAATGAGTAGGCCATCTTTTTAGGCAATAATAACTTCCTAATAAGTGTAATAAGTGTTTAGATTTACGCAGGCTTCATAACAGTGGAAGCAGTAGTCACATCACATCAGAGGTTGAACAACACTACTCAGATGCTCACAAAGGGTTTTTGTATGAGTGTTGATTGTGTTTTAGTCAGTGTGGGCTGCAGAGCACAGTAGTACACAGCAGAGTCAGACACACTCACATCCTGGATTGTCAGTGGAAAAGATTTTGAAATTGTGTTGAGATCGCCACTAAATCTTTCCTTGAAATGGATGGCATGATTATCAAATTTGTCCAGCATGAATTCTGGAGCTCCATTAACTTTTTGCTGGTACCAGAAGAAAATTGGCAATATATCAGTGGTTTCATATTGACAGCTGATTGTTACAACTGCTCCTTCAAGAGCTGTAAGAACTGTTGTATTTTGTTCAACACTGTCCAGAGAATCACATCCTGTAATCATGTAATGCAAAAAAAAAAAAAAATGAGGATCAGATTTAGCTTATATTAGTATTAGCCGTTTTTACTTACAGAATTTAACTTACCCCAGTAATATGTGATAAAGAAGACTACAATTCTTTGCCAGTTTGCCATCATAATCATTTTTAAATAATACGTTAGATAAAATTAACTCATTAAAATCTACAGCAGATCCTTGTTTCAGCCTCTCTTTGATAAAGTTGTTGTAATATGCAAAGACCTGCAGGAGGAGTCTGACTGCACAGAATCTGAACACAGTGTGACTGTCTCCTCCTCCTGAAGGATTCTGGGTGTAGTTTAAAGTCTTTCCAATGTTTGTTTTATCAGTCCCATACATTGGTTCAAGCACTGACCCCTTATTTCAATTTGATGAATTAATGTAATTCTAGACATTGTTATCACTTGACATTGTTATTGTGTTTGTGTATATTATTAGAAGAAACTGTTAAAAAAGAAAAAGAGACTTAATGTTAATGTTATTCTTAACTACTATATTATATACATATTTTCATTCATATTTTGGTGATATTTTCATTCACCAGCATTGAAAGTCAGTTTTGTAAATGTATTATTTAATCTTAAAATGTTTTTTTTTTTATATACAGTATGTCCACAACTATTACGATTGGTTTTGCATATGTTTTGCATATTAATAGCAATCCACAACATCTTATTTTGATCTCTTTCGCGTTTTCTTTCTTTTCCCATTATATTTTGAACTAATCACACACAGGTGTTTCCACAAGTGTAATTATATTGTGTGAATTATAGATTGTGGGTTTGATGTGGCTTGAAATCAAAGTGAAAAATGAATTTGAGTTTTTGTACGGCTTCACATTGACTTTGTATCACTGGGCTCCAACTCTTAGAGCACAGTAATAGAGAGCTGAATCTGACAGAGTTACACTAGTAATGGTGAGTTCAGTGGATGTGTGTGATGTAGTCGACTGAAAGCGAGGATCAGCTGGCTTCCCAGTGCTACTCCAATCCCGAGCCTCTTTCCACATTAAATACTGAGGTTCTCCTTTAGGATACTGTCTGTACCAGTAAAGTCTAACATATCTGCTGCTTGTATCGTATGAGCAGCTGAGGGTCACAGTCTCATCTTCCTTCATGACACTAGTTTCTTTATTTGGCCTAATCTGGTCTGCAGTCATCACACCTAATACAAAGAAATAAGATAATTACTGATTCAAACTTTAAAAATTATTTTTTACACTGTTTTTCTACTGTAAATGACTACAATGAATAAAGGGAGTCATACTGTACCTGGAGTCAGAATTAAAATCAGAAACAGGCATTTTACCATGTTTACTAGGTCAGATCAGTGTATTAATGTTCTCTGGGCTCCAATTCTAATGTATTAGTTCAGTCCTCACAGAAGAGGTGTGTCTTCAGACTTTTTTTTTTTTTTAACTTTGATGGTTTCAGATGCAGGTGATTGGTTGGAGGTGACCGTTTTGAACACAAGCACAAGAGCCTTGAAAAAGAAATGTACACATTCTGGGTCATATTGCAGTCTGTTAAAAAAGTTGAAGTGATCAAAATAATGAAAACAATGGAAATGCTATAGATCTGCTCTGCTTGAGTAGAACTTCACAACTCCAGGTTCATCTTGAACTTTTCAATGACTTGATTCTTTGGTTCCCCGCAAAGAGCACTTTATTGTTTATTACTGATATGATTATCACTTGATAACTTATAAATTATGATAACTTTTTATAATGTTTTTACTTGGTTTATAGTGTTACGCTGGCAAAGTTGGAGAGTTTTTATTTTGCATGTTTTTGTGTGAGTGTTGAGTGTGTTTCAGTCACTGTGGGCCTCAGAGCACAGTAGTACACAGCAGAGTCAGACACTCGCAGATTCTTGATCATCAGTGGAACTGTTCTTGATGTGGAATCCAGTGTTGCAGAAAATCTCTTCTTAAAATCAGGCTCAGTTATTCCTTCACTAAATGGATATTTATTCAGAATGAATATTGGTGATTTGTTTGGCAGCTGTTTGTACCAGAAGAGATAAACATCTGCATTTGTAGTTTTGGTAGTGTAATTACATATTAAAGTTACTTGATCTGCTTCATTTGCAGTCATTCCTCCTGAAGGCTGTTCTACTCTGTCTTGCCCCCAGCACACTGGAAAATAGATTTAACCATTAATCATTTACATATATGAAGTAATGCACATATAAAAAATAATAAAGTGCAAATGATGAACTTTCTTACCAAAGTCCTGTGCTGTGAAGAAAAGTGTAATAATCACCCATTTTTCCATTGTTGAGATAAAGAGATTAATATTTGAAAGTGTATTCTTATGATTGGGTCTCTCTGTCTGATGTGATTGTGGCTCTTGGTTTCCTCTGTGTTGCTCTTCTCTTGATATTTCAAGTCTTCAGATCCATAGGCACGACTCCTTAAAGACACCTTGAGGTATGCTGCCTCCCTGTGGTGAATTTATGTATTTCTAACCAACATTTTTATCCAAAGTAACTTACAAATGTGAAATACAATCAGAATCAATACAATCAGATATCAAAGCAGAGTGTTGAGTGTGTTTCAGTCACTGTGGGCCTCAGAGCACAGTAGTACACAGCAGAGTCAGACACACGCAGATTCTTGATCATCAGTGGAACTGTTCTTGATGTTGAATCCAGTGATGCAGAAAATCTCTCTTTAAATTCATCCTCAGTAGTTCCTTTACCAGTTGAAAATTCACTGAGAATGAATGTTGGTGATCTATTTGGTAGTTGTTTGTACCAGTAAAGATATGCATTATTATAACTGCTGGTAGAGTAATTGCACAGTCAAGTAATTTGAGCTGCTTCATTGGCAGTCAGTTCTCTTGAAAGTTGTTCAACTTGGTCTTGTCCCCAGCACACTGGAAAATAGATGTAGCCATTATTCATGTGCTTACATTGAGTATCTCACACAGATATAGGCCTAGTAGTAAAGTGTAAATTATGAAACAATTTTCTTACCAAAATCATGTGCTGTGAAGAAAAGTGCAATAATCACCAATTTTGCCATTCTCACTTACAGATCAAAATTAAAAAGGAAGAATATTTTAACAGAATTTTCCAGAAGTTTTTTATTCTTACTGTATAGTCTCTATTTCTCTTTGTAGTTTCAGATTCTTCATAAGGTTCAGCTTTATATAAGAATTTGAGGAAGGATGCCTCATTGTGGTGAGTTTGAATAGATTTTGTTGAGCTGAAAAAAATTCAATTGCACCAATTGCACAAACAGTGCAACTAATGTCAGAATCAATTGAATTGAATCAATTGAAAATAATAATAAATAAGAAGTAAAATGACTTTTATTGGACATGTTAGTTTACACTGTATGAATAATTTGGCTTTGAGTGGGAAACTTTCTTTAAGAGACTCCATACAAGAGACTTTGCCGAGGAGATATTAAATGATGATGTAATGTTTAGTCCGATCTTTCAAAATGGTTGTGATGTACTGTAATTCAGGAAGTATTCTAAGACATCATGTTTCCTTTTCATTACCCTTTCAGTAACAACACACAGGTGTTTCCACAAGTGTAGTTATATTCTGAGAATTCTAGATTGTGGGTGTGATGTGGCTTGACATTAAAAGGGAAAAATTGATTAGAGTTTTTGTACAGCTTCACATTGACTTTGTACCACTGGGCTCCAACTCTTAAAGCACAATAATAGAGAGCTGAATCTGACAGAGTTACACCAGTAATAGTGAGTTCAGTGGATGTGTGTGATGTAGTCGACTGAAAGCGAGGATCAGAGGGGCTCCCACTTCCACCACTCGACCGTGCAGCCTTGTATATTAAATAGCGAAGCTCCCCTTTAGGATACTGTCTGTACCAATAAAGTCTAACATAACTGCTGCTTGTATCATATGAGCAGCTGAGGGTCACAGTCTCGTCTTCCTTTATGACAACAGCATCTTTATTTGGCCTAATCTGGTCTGCAGTCATCACACCTAAAACAAACAAATAAAAGTAATTTGTCAGCCAAGTTACACAAAATTATCTCAATATATCTCATTAATACCACTGTAATGAAATGAAAATAAAAGTGTCATATTGTACCTGAAGTCAGAATTAAAATGAGAAGCAGGTGTTTTTCCATGTTGACTAGGTCAGATCAGGTTAATGTTCTCTGTGCTCTGAGCTGTAGATCTGTGTTACTGTGAGTCTCTGCAGTTTCACACTCAAACACACTGGAACTTCCTGCTTTCTGTGTGATATGACGGTCTGCCGCTTCTCATGTTTTTGCATGAGTTTGCATTCTACAACATTTGCAACGGCAAGAAATCATACATATATTTATTATTTTAGCAGATGGTTTTGACTAACAAAATCTACAAACCTGAATGATTAATGAGCCAATAATATTAATATTGCTATGATACAAATTTTTGACATGACAGAATATTACTGATCTAGAGCATAAATATAAGAGCAGAATTAAACAGAAAAGATGTGTATTGATAATAGTTAACAAGGCCAATGTCTAAAGTTTGATTAGTGACCTAAAAATAGTTATGAATCTTAAATATTTCTTAGTTATTTTGTCTTAAATCTTTTTTTTTTTTTATGTTTTAAAATGTAATACATTTCCAGATTTAAATTTGAATTCCAAATTCAGGTCCCCACTGCATAGGCTCCTAAATTAGTTTGTTCGTTTGTTTTTTATTGTTGTGATGGTTTGAGACTCATGTGATTGATCCGAGTTTGGAAGTGTTAAAATTGTTCACACCTTTCTCTGATTCCACTAATTGACCTCAGATGATGGATGCTGATCCAGAGGCATGCACACTTTTTGACTCTATGAACACAAGTTATCTATTTCATGTTTTTGTATGGGTGTTGAGTGTGTTTCAGTCACAGTGGGCTGCAGAGCACAGTAGTACACAGCAGAGTCAGACACACGCACATCCTGTATTGTCAGTGGAACTCTTCTTGATGTGGAGTCCAGTGTTGCTGAAAATCTCTTATTAATATCAGCCTCAGTTATTCCTTCACTAAATGAATATGTATTCAGAATGAAGGTTGGTGATCTATTTGATAGTTGTTTGTACCAGAAGAGATATGCATTTGTAGTTGTGGTGGAATAATTGCACAGTAGAGTAACCGGATCTCATTTTGCAGTCATTTCTATTGAAGGCTGTTTAACTCTGTCTTGCCCCCAGCACACTGGAAAATAGATTGAACTATTTATAATTTACATATGTTGAGTAACTAAAAAATAATAATAAAGTGGAAATGATGATCTTTCTTACCAAAGTACTGTGCTGTGAAGAAATACATAATAGTCACAAGTTTTTCCATTGTTAAGATAAAGAGATTAATATTTTAACATGTATGCTCTCATGAATATGTCTCTGTCTTTCCTGTAACTCTCTGTTTTCTCTGTGCTGCACTTCCCTTGATATTTTCAAGTCTTCAAGTAGGTCTAAATCCTCACATTATTGATGGCACTTTTGATGGTTTCTGCCCTCCAGTGGTGAATGTATGTATTTTTAACACACATAGCCACATTATGTTTTTGTAGCAGTGGACATGCAGAGGATGAAGACTTATAGAGTGCATTAGTGCCCGCCCACTCTTTTAGCAGCGTAAATTTTTCCCTTAATGAATTTTTAAAAGTCTTTGTTAAAACATTATTAGCCACAAACCAAGCTAACCAGCTACGAGGTGAATCACAACATTACAGACTTTAATTTGAAGTCAAAAACTCAATGAAAATGATGATGATGATCAGATGAAAAAAAAAGATACAAGACTGTGTACTTAGTGAAGGAAAGACCTATAATCCCATGAAGCATTGCAAATGACATTAATCGAATCAAAAACATTTGAGTGTCTTCTATTCCTTTTAAAGGAAAGCTTTTGCAACCACAATAAATTATACATTTATTTATTTTGCATGATTTTGAAGAAAAATACAAACACACTGGAAAATAGATTTAACTATTTATAATTTGCATATTAAGTAACTAAATTGTAAAATGTGTAATTGATGATAATTCTTTAAAAAGTCCTGTGCTGTGAGGAAAAGAGCAATAATCATTAGTCTTTCCATTGCTCTCTCTCTCTCTCTCTCTCTCTCTCTCTCTCTCTCTCCCTTTGGTGTTTAAAAATGTGTGGTTGCTTACCATAGGGGATAATTAAAACCAAACTCAGGTGTTTTTCCATGTTAAAAATATGATATGGGTTGTTAGGATTTTCAGTGCAGGTCAGTGTTTACATTGACTCTCTGCTAGTTGGTCTTTGGCACTCAAAAACGTCCTGCTCTTAACAAATGATGCCGTGCATTTGCGTCTTTATCTACTTTGATGATTTGCTTCATCAGATTTCTGCAGCCCCCAAAAAGTTAACAATGCTTTGAGTAAATGAATTCATTGTTTAAAAGACCCTTCCAATTCTAGAATGTATCAAAATGAACATTCTACCATTCATTATTCATTTGTTTCTATTAGAAATATACTATCATTAGGCTATTACTTTGATCATATTCTCTAAAATCATTATGATTGTGTCCACTTAAAAATTGTAATTTTGTCATTGTCAATCATTTTTTAGTTCAGTTTCTACAAAATATTTACTGTATGTTAATTAGAATTAAAAACCAATTAGCCAGATAAATTGACTGAACTTGAGTTAAAGGGGTCATATGATGTTGCTAAAAAGAACATTATTTGGCCAAAAAAGTATTTTCGCTTTCGCAACAAAACACACAGCGTCTTCACAACATGGCGGCGGCGGTGGCAGCAATGCCTTCTTTCTTTGCGTGAACATTTCGGCGGCGTTATGCAAATCTTCCCACATCGTAACGTAGACATTTGGGAGCGTGTTTGAATGAGGCGTTTTAAGAGTCTTAACTTTTATAAAGAATATCTCTTTGGGTTTGAGACTTTAGTCTTTGCAACTTTAGGGATCTTATCTCTTCACGAACAGCTTGTAAGTTGTAACACTCCAAAGAGAAAGGAAAACTTGAAATCGCATCATATGACCCCTTTAATGAATCATTTATACACCATCAATTAAACATTAGATCACTTCCATGGCATTTTGGGTAATAAGACATCTATCATGCTGGTTGTGATAAATGCTTAATAGATAATTGCAGATAAATAATTGTAACAATAAAAAAATAATAATAAATACATAAGTAATCTTAAAAATATAATATACTATGATGATGCTATTATCTGAAACATTACATATTCTGAAAAAATATTAATCGCACTCACACACAGGTGTTTCCACAAGTGTAATTATATTCTGTGAATTATAGATTGTGGGTTTGATGTGGTTTGAGATCAAAGTGAAAAATGAATTAGAGTTTTTGTACAGCTTCACATAGACTTTTTAGACTTTTAAACTCTTAGAGCACATTAACAGAGAGCTGAATCTGACAGAGTTACACTAGTAATAGTGAGTTCAGTGGATGTTTCTGATGAAGTCGACTGAAAGCGACGATCAGCAGGGGTCCCAGAGTATTAGTCCATGACCGAGCATCTTTCCACACTAAATACTGAGGTTCTCTCAGGGCCGGCCCGTCGCATAGGCGAAATAGGCCAATGCTAGGGGATAAGCTTTTTTTTTACAATATTATTTTAAATATTGCACTATATATCGAAATATAATCGATATCGCATTATGGCTTAATGCCATAGTCATATTGCGAAGGTTGCGATTAAATTAAATAACAATAGCTATGCGCTGCAGTTTTCTGAGTGAAGCAAGTAATATGTTCGAGACTTAGCGTGCAGCCCATGACACGCAGCGCTTCACTCTGAAACATGCAGCGCATTTATTTATTTGCTGGCAAGCCACCAAAATAAAAGCATAATATTTGAATTTGAGCAGAGATGCACCGATTGGCCATAAATCGGAACCGGACGTTTTTTTGTTTTATTTCAGAGTCTGTAAACGGCGTTAACAGAGGCCAGAGACGCAAAGAGGAGAAAATACATTAGCAGGCAGAGCAAGCTCACTGTTCACAATGCGCAAAGTATGAATGTATATCTGAGGGAAACTGACTGTCTTAAAGGGGTGTGACGTCACACAGACAGGCATCTGAGATCGGCTCGATTTGAGAAAGGGGAAAATATTTTAGTAGATTAACAAAAAACCACTGGGTGGATTTTTATCATTTTAGGGTGGTTGTGTACACACACTGCCAACACACATTTCAGTTCAAACGACTTGTAAAAGTGCATGTAGCATTATATGACCCCTTTAAGAAACAGTTTAGATGGCATTTTCCTTTCATCTTGCCTCTGTATACAGTAGTGTTTACAGTGGGAATCAAGGAAACAATGCATCACTGCGGTTCCTTAAACGCCACCTGCTGACAGAGAGTGAATTTACATTTTTATTCAGCCCAATTGCTGTTTGGGATGTTTTATATAGCCTAATTTCACAAAGCTAAAGTCAGTCCATTCTGTTTTTGCTTCAGGTTTTGAAATTATACAGTCTAATTTAGATCAAAATATAGGCTATATAAAGCAACTAATCATATTCTTCATGCACTCTTTCTTGTCTTTTGCTTAAATAAAATACATTAAAAATCAGTATTGGATTCTGGCATGAAAAGTTAAGATCAGTGCATCCCTAAATTTTAGAATGTCTGAAATTAAGAAATTAAGATATTTAAATAGCTAGCTGAGTTAAGTCAGTTTATTTATTTATGCAGTTTTTGTGTGAATGATCAGTGGTGGAATTGGCTGCGATGCAAGGGGCACCAGCTAAAATATTGCCTAGGGCACCAAATTGGTCAGGGCCGGCCCTGGGTTCTCTATTAGGATAGGAGACTTGTAAAGTGTAACATATCTGCTGCTTGTATCATATGAGCAGCTCAATCTCACAGACTCTCCTTCTGTACTGATGACATTTACACCCTTATTTGGCCCAATCTAGTCTGCAGTCATTGCACCTGCAAACATGAAAATAAATATTTGCTTACAGTTTAAAAACCATGCGAGTTAAATTCAGTCACATTACACATTATCTATTTTCCTTAGCAGCACTGGCATCAAAGAGTATTTACCTGAAGTCATGATTAAAATCAGAACCAAGTGTCTGTCCATGTTTACTACGTCAGATCTGTTCTGTTAATGCTCTTCTGTTCTCTGGGTTGTGATGCTCTGACTTTCTTTTGAGTCATACAATCAATCTGGATCTTCCTGCTCTCTGATGATGATGCTCATTTTGGTAAATTAATTAAAGAGGTAGAGAAGCAGATCTGTAAATGACATATGTTATTTATTAAATAAAAATGAGGAGCTAATGATTCTGTACAATGAAGTTTAATTCCGTAGTAGTTTCCTACCCCCCCCCTCCCCCTAAAAAAATCTGAATTTTTCTTTCCTCCTCGCTTTTTTTATATATGTATTTATTTATTTATTGTTTGTTTGTTTGTTTGTATTAATAAAAGTTTATCTTATTTTAAACATGATTATTTGAGAACTAAAGTCTGATGGAATACATTCAGTGTCTGAGGTGGCAGTTTGGAAATCTTATTCTCTTTATTGTTTAGTGATCTAGTCTGTTTAGTCTGATTTGTAGAAGGTACAGTTATGCTTTTTCACATGTGTCAGGTTTTTGTACAGTGTTCTTGTTACCTGTCAGTGTGTGGACGTCAGATCACAATAATACATAGCAGAGTCTTTCTGAACAGCTGAGGAGATCACCAGATCCACACGTTTGATTTCTTTTGTACCTTGTTTTTCTTTTCTGAGCTTAGTAGAGAACCTGGGATCTACATCAGATGTCTTAGTCTCTTTCACACTCTCTATTATGAGCACAAGAAATTGAGGAGCTGATCCGGGATACTGACGGTACCATTGAAGTGAGTGTGCAGAGGAATAACTGCAGGATAAAGTAACAGTTGAACCCGCTGCAGCAGATTCCTCAGTGCTGTCTGGTGTGATTTCAACTCCAAAACTCACACCTGGAAAAGAGCAAAAGAATAACTTTTAATTTTCAAATAGTGTTTGAAATTGATTCAAGTGATCATTGATTTGAAATTGTATACATACAATTAATCTATATATAAATGTTAAAATTTTCAGTGAAAAAAAGAGCTCATGTAGCATTTAAAATGAGAAAATTATTTGACAAAATATTATATGTATAGGGCCACATCTATCTATAAAGCCTGCTTAATAATTATGCACATCTAAATATTTGACTTCCAGCCCTCGTTAACAATTATAGATCACTTATAAATCAACATAGGGCTGCACGATTAATCGAATTTCTAATCGCAATTACAATTACGGATGCCACAATTACATAATAGTAGTTTCCTACCCCCCCCCTCCCCCTAAAAAAATCTGAATTTTTCTTTCCTCCTCGCTTTTTTTATATATGTATTTATTTATTTATTGTTTGTTTGTTTGTTTGTATTAATAAAAGTTTATCTTATTTTAAACATGATTATTTGAGAACTAAAGTCTGATGGAATACATTCAGTGTCTGAGGTGGCAGTTTGGAAATCTTATTCTCTTTATTGTTTAGTGATCTAGTCTGTTTAGTCTGATTTGTAGAAGGTACAGTTATGCTTTTTCACATGTGTCAGGTTTTTGTACAGTGTTCTTGTTACCTGTCAGTGTGTGGACGTCAGATCACAATAATACATAGCAGAGTCTTTCTGAACAGCTGAGGAGATCACCAGATCCACACGTTTGATTTCTTTTGTGACTTGTTTTTCTTTTCTGAGCTTAGTAGAGAACCTGGGATCTACATCAGATGTCTTAGTCTCTTTCACACTCTCTATTATGAGCACAAGAAATTGAGGAGCTGATCCGGGATACTGACGGTACCATTGAAGTGAGTGTGCAGAGGAATAACTGCAGGATAAAGTAACAGTTGAACCCGCTGCAGCAGATTCCTCAGTGCTGTCTGGTGTGATTTCAACTCCAAAACTCACACCTGGAAAAGAGCAAAAGAATAACTTTTAATTTTCAAATAGTGTTTGAAATTGATTCAAGTGATCATTGATTTGAAATTGTATACATACAATTAATCTATATATAAATGTTAAAATTTTCAGTGAAAAAAAGAGCTCATGTAGCATTTAAAATGAGAAAATTATTTGACAAAATATTATATGTATAGGGCCACATCTATCTATAAAGCCTGCTTAATAATTATGCACATCTAAATATTTGACTTCCAGCCCTCGTTAACAATTATAGATCACTTATAAATCAACATAGGGCTGCACGATTAATCGAATTTCTAATCGCAATTACAATTACGGATGCCACAATTACATAATCGTTCAAAGCAGCAATTAATCGTTCAAGGTCCACTTATGTTATTCTGCATGCTTAAGATGCTTTTTTTCTTTCTACATGTTATCTTGTTTTAATTTTAGTATAACATTATAATACCATGCATATTTTTACCTTTGTATTTAAAGAGAAACCAATCCGATTTATAGTTGACATTTGAGGCTTAATACTATAGAAAAGCAATAAAAGTTTTTCAGTTAGTGTTTTCAGCTTGCTTATTTTCATATAAAAATATGGCATGCAGTTGCTTCAAACAAAGGTGTAAACATCATTCATTTAATTGCAAATTAATAATCGCAATTACAATTTCAAAGGAATAATCGACAATCACGATTTTTGTCATAATCATGCAACCCTAAATCAACATATTATATAAAAAATGAATAGTAGTTAAGATTGATCTGGTTTGTACCTAAAGTGTACATAGTACCTATAAGGTACCACCCCAGTGTTGTACCTTTTTTTTTTTGTCTGAGAGTGTATGATCAGAATATTGACTTGCCTAATAATTATGCACACTGTATTCTTAAATGTTTAATTGCAAATGCATACAAGAAATAAACAAATGCACTTACATGCCAGAGCACAGAAAAGAATGACTGAATGAAGTATCACCGTGCATGTTCGGCGAGTTTTGTGACAGTCTAGAAAATGTAACAAGATCATATGGGATGAATGTGCATGTGCATCAGTATCATGTGGATTTGCACCTCGTCATATAACTGAGCACTTCCTCTGTTTTTGTATGAGTGTTGAGTGTGTTTTAGTCACTGTGGGCCTCAGAGCACAGTAGTACACAGCAGAGTCAGACACACGCAGATTCTTGATCATCAGTGGAAATGTTCTTGATGAAGAGTTCAGTGTTGCAGAAAATCTCTTCTTGAAATCAGGCTCAGTGGTGTATTGATTCAGAATTAATGTTGGTGATTTGTTTGGTAGCTGTTTGTACCAGAAAAGGTATATATTTATACCAGTGGTAAAATAATTACATCTTACAATAACTTGATCTCTTTCACTCGCAGTGATTTCTTCTGAAGACTGTTCAACCCTGTCCTGTCCAGAAGACACTGGGGAACAATAGACAGAAAAATGTATCATTTATTTGAATGATTAGGAAAGTACGTGTAAACACTTAGTAATCTATATTTAGGTAAACATTTTTCTGTTAAAGTATGCAGAAACAAAAATGTTCTTGCCATCATAATGTGCCATTAAGCACAGAGAAATCAAAGCCCATCTAAACATAGTTGATCAACGAGGTAAAAGAACAGAAAAATCACTCAACTCAGATTTCAAAAAATGTGCTCATCTTACAGTGCTCTTCTTTAAAGGGTTGTATCATGTCACATGATATTCTATAAATGAAGAGAGCAATGCTGGCCCCTTGTGGATGAAGTGGAAGTTTGAAATTACTAAACATGATGTTATTTTGCAAACCCTGAACAATTCTTTATAAACGTATGATTGGTATAAATAGTGTTTTTGAACAAAAGCTTGATCATCACTATACTTATGTTTTACTTCTGTATATTATAAAGCTATTTACTCATTTTTAGAATAACTGAATGGAGTATCATTGTATGTGTGCTTATAGTCTCAGCTTAAATGATCTTATGACACAGTCTCTGTCAGGTTCAGCAAAATACTTTCATATATAAACCCCTCTTTCCTCACCACCTGGAAAAAAGCAAATGCATATAAATATGATTTTATCACCTCTTTGAACATTGCTTTATAAAACATTATGAATATCTGAAGCATCTTTTAACTGAATCTTTGTGTGTCACCCTTTGTTATATCTTTTTGTGTCGTGAATGACAAACTATAATACTGTTTTTGCTGAATAGAGGGGTGTTCCCTTGTGTTAACTTTAGCAGATATGGGGGCTGGACATGTGTGATGTAGATGCAATGAAATGTGTCAGGTTTTTGTACAGTGTTCTTGTGTTTCCTGTCACTGTGGGCTCCAGAGCGCAGTAGTACAGAGCAGAGTCTGATATAGATGCAGAGGAGATTTCCAGATCCACATGGTTTTCTTTGTCTTTACTAACTTTGGTCTTGAATCTGGAATCTACATAAGACTCCTGAGCTTGTTTTGCACCGTCTGAGATGAGCACAATGAACTCGGGAGCTGATCCGGGATAGTGGCGATACCAGTGAAGACGAAATGCAGATGAATAACTGCAGGATAATTTAACAGTTGAACCCTCGTCAGCAAACACCTCTGATTTGGTTGGTTTGATTTCATTTCCATACATTGCATCTTCAAAAGTAGATAAAATCTTTTAAGAACAGGTGTTTAAATCGAATCTATATTCAATTTGGATGTATCAGTATAGAATTCAATATAGTACATGAAGAAAAACACTATACTTAATTTTGAGCAGAAATTAGCCATTCTGGCTGCTCAGAGTATTAGGGTACAAAACACTTCAATACTTACATGCAAAGGCAGAAAGCAGAATGACAGAATGGAGACTCATTGTGTGTGTGTTTCTTATTTCTCTCTCTAACAGACATGAAGTTAAGAAGATCACATCAGGTATCAGTGCTTTAAACCCCACCTCTTCCAGAGAGCTCTTTGAGAGAGCAGAGCAGAGCAGATCAGATCAGATCTGTTTCATACACCACTGAGGCATTTGAGTACTATTCATATCCTATTGTACCCTCTTGTTGTTACTTACTCTGTCAGTCCTCAGAACACAACATACAGAATATAAACTTCATTATTTTTCATACTTTGGTTATAATATTTTAGATCTTATAAAGTTCATATTCACTTTGCACAGCACTAACTAAACGAATTAGTGCTGTCAAACGATTAATCGTGATTAATCGCATCCAAAATAAACCTTTTTGTTTACATAATGTGTATAATGTGTCTATTTATTATGTATATATAAATACAAACACGTGCATGTATATATTTAAGAAAAATATTTTATGTTCAATATATTTATATATAATAAAAAAATAAGAATATAAATATATACATGTAAATGCATGTAAATATTTTCTAAATATTTACTGTGTGTGTATTTATATATACATAATAAATATACACAATACACATATATATTATGTAAACAAAAACTTTTAGTTTGGATGCGATTAATCGCGATTAATCATTTGACAACACTAAAATAAATAGATTTTTTTATTATTATATGCATGTTATTGTTGTGGGACAGAAGTAAATGGCATGTGGATTTGCACCTCAACAAAATGTAACACTTCCTCTGATTTTGTATGAGTGTTGAGTGTGTTTTAGTCACTGTGGGCCTCAGAGCACAGTAGTACACAGCAGAGTCAGACACACGCAGATTCTTGATTGTCAGTGGAAATGTTCTCGATGTAGAGTCCAGTGTTGCAGAAAATCTCTTCTTGAAATCAGGCTCAGTAGTATATTGATTCTGGATGAATGTTGGTGATCTGTTTGGTAGCTGTTTGTACCAGAAGAGATATGGATTTGTAGTAGTATAATTACACATTAAAATAACTTGAGCTCCTTCACTTTCAGTCATTTCTCCTGAAGACTGTTCAATCCTGTCCTGTGCTGAGGACACTGGAAAAATAGACAGAAAAAAGTAAGTCATTAACATGAATTATTAGCAAAGTAAACTTAAAAATGTATTAACCTGAATGTAAGTAAACCATTTTCTTATAAAGTAGGCTTATACAGATGTACTTACCATCATAATGTGCTGTGAAACACAGGGAAATCAAAGCCCATCTAAACATAGTTGATCTATGAGCAAATATTCACTCAAATCTTGTCTGTGTTTATCTCATAGTGCTCTTCTTTAAACGTTTGTATCATGTCACATGATATTCTCATACGTGGAGAGAGCAAGTCTGACCCCTTGTGGATGAAGTTTCTAATTGCTTAAAAATTGTTACTTTGGAAACCATTTTTCACAAAATTAGTATTAGCCTGAATATGTTTTTGAACACATGCGTGATCCCCACTACTCATCTCTCAATTGTAAAGCCATTTAGTTACTGGATATAGCAATGGGCATTATGTGCCTATTTTTTCTTTTTTCTTCCTTGCATTAAAGTAAATGATCTGAAGAAAGTGTGAAAAATACCTTTTATACACAATGTATTGACCACATTTGTGCATGTGAAAAGTTGATTTCTGCCGTATTGTTTTAGTCTGACACTTTTCTGAACATGCTTAGATATACCAGAGGGGTCTGAATATTATTCACGATTTAAGGGTCACATTTCTCCCTGTCTGTATAAGACTATTGTTTCTTTTCAGAGTAAGGTTTTTGCACAGCGTACTTGTGTTTCCTGTCACTGTGGGCCTCAGAGCGCAGTAGTATAGAGCAGAGTCTGATAATGCAGCAGAAGAGATGATCAGATCCACATGGTTTTGTTTTTCTTTTCTATTATTAGTACTGAATCTTTGATCCACATTAGACTTCTGAGCTTGTTTTGCTCCATCTGAGATGAGCACAAGGAACTCAGGAGCTGATCCGGGATACTGACGGTACCAAAGTAAAGACCATGCAGATGAATAACTGCAGGATAATTTAACACTTGAACCCTCTGCAACAAACTCCTCTGTTTTGTCTGGTGTGATAGTATCTCCATTACTGGCACCTGCAAATAAATGTGAAATGTTAGGTTTGTCATTTTAGTCTGAAAGGGCACTATACTGAAAATGGAAGAATTTAAATAGTTCATGTACTTTTAGTGCACTTTTTATATATATTAAGTCCCCAAATAATAAAACCATGCTTAATTCTTCACTTTGATCATAAAGGTAAGGCTTTTAAAAGCAATGGTACTTACATGCTAAAGCAGAGAGCAGAATAACTGAATGGAGTATCATTGTGTTTTTGCTTACAGTCTCAGATTAAATGATCTTATGTCAGTTTTGACAAACTACTGTCAGATATACTTTAAGCCCCTCCTTCCTCGCCACCTGGGAAAAAGCAAATGTATCTAAATTAACAATCCATGCGTGCAATAATACATTGTGCTTTATAGAGGGGTGTTAACTTGTGTTAACTAGCAGATATGGGGGTTGGATATGTGTGATGTGGATGCAATACTGTGAATCT